TAGATTTATAACTTTTAAAACTTACACCACAGAAATTTGTAAAAAAAATTCTAACTAATATTGAGAGCTGTCAGTCGGAAAATGTCTTCTATGGACATTACGGTGGTAAAAAGCAGAAGTAAAGTCGGAATTTGAATGCTTAATACCGAAAAAATGTACCCCTGTTTTTTAATTTGAAATTAAAACTAGTAATTTTTAGCAAAAAAAAACCCGACTTCAACTCCCATATAAAAAAAAAATATATATATATATATCTCATGATCCGCTGATCGGATCTTAACCAGATTAGTATGGGACCACCTCTGAGACACTCCCTCCTCCTTTTTTGGAAGTCGGTTAAAAATTCTTAGAGGTCGCTCAAAGCGATCAAAATTTTTGATGTATTTTATATTTGAAAATCAACATTTTTCGATTGGAAAACTATGTTACTCTTCAGTAGCTTTTGTTTATTTGACCATTTTATTTAAATACCAACGATTTTTTGTAGGTGCCCTTAAACCCCAAAAATATGCAATGAGGGAACCCATAAAAAATCGTTAGTATTAAAAAATTGGGTACTTTTAATGGAAGTCATCTTCTTGATTTTCCCGATTTATGTATGTCCTAAATTGTTTTTTCTCTATATAAAACGTATGGAAAATTTGGAGCGCTTTGAGGAACCTCTAAATATTTTTTGATTTCGAAATAAAAAACAGGCGTACATTATTTTCGACATAGAGTAGTGCTTGGGGTGAGATCTCATTAAAATTTTGACTTTACTTTTTTCACGTGCACTTTTAGATGGCTATAATCTAGAAATAAGCAAAAATCAGATTGATAAAAAGGTTTATAGTACTTTTACATATACATATCGAGGGCTTAGATTAAATACCCTCTATTTGCAAATTTCATTAAAACTACTTTGTGATGTTAGAACCCATCTGGGACTTACCTGTCATCACTTATGTCAATACTGACTTTGCAATTTAATAGTAAATTCTTCTGTCGAGCGTTATACAAGGTCAGTTAAGTCTTAGATAGATTTTTATTTCAGAATCTCATTTTTGAGAAAAGTGCAGTTAGAGGATATTGAATAGATAAGTAGAATTTAGTGATTTGACTATTCTATTTTTCATTGTTCTAATTTGATCAAAGTTAGAAAGAGTATTCGCTTGAATAGTAAAGCATTGACCAACGGCACTTGTCTTCTTAAATAATTTTCCAGCAGGGTCAAAGTGAGTACCACAACAACACACAGCACGCATAGATTGGCAGCTAGTGCTGTAGCTGCTCGTAGTAAAGAACTCAAAGGGAAGTTGAAACCGTGTCGTTATCCATGTTATATAAATTACTTCATAGGTATATATATTTTACTTATACTAGCATACACTGGAACATACATTTGTAGTTAAGTGTGTGTTTGAATTCACATGAAATAATTCACTAATTTACAGCACGCAAAATTGGGAAACTAATTTGGCATGCAAGGCACGCAGGCAGCTACCGTCTGGTGTTGGTTTGGCTGCTTGCTGTTGTTGACCACAGAATTGATGCAACCGGCAGTTGGCAGTACACGCAAACCAATGTATATATGTATGTGTGCATATAACTACATACTTTACGCACAATGAATATATATATAGATACCATATATAATTATAAGTCGTCTATAAGCAAAAGACACTGCGTAAGACGGCTGCATAAAGCTTTGATGCAAAGCGAACAGCTGACCCCGAGCGTACAGTGTTTTACGACTATACAGAAATGCAACACAAAATTGTATTCATAGAAATATCAAGAAATATATTTGCTTCGTTATATGTTAAGACAAAATTTCAACGCAACTGTTGGAAATTAAGTCTTCTTCAGAATATTTTTTCTATCTTATAGCGATTTTTTCATGTCCACTAAGTTAGTATGCAAATATTACTTTGAAAACAATTCTGCGTCTCATTTTTTGATGAATATCATTTGACATACAACAGATGTAAAAACGATTTAAATAGGGATATATAAATCATCAAGGTTAGCATAAAGAGCATGGTAACTCATCATACAAGCCATCGACAACTGCCCCTTCGCGCTTTCCGCTAATTTTAAAGTTAACATTTTTTTTTTTAAGTTGACTAAATAAATATTTTAGCAGACCATGATTTTCTGTCAAAATATTTTACTGTAGTGTAGTAGGTTTGTTTTACTAAACAGATAGATACACTTTATATTCACGATAAGTGAAAATATGGTTAACTTTCATGTTCGTAGCTGCCTAAGAAGAGGAGCTATATTGCCAGTACCGACATATGATTAATGTCGTACCGAATGTCAGTCGACACACAGATAGACGTACATGGCCAAATTGACTCATACAACCACCGTTTCGGTAATGAAAACAGCCAAAAGGAAACAAAATTTACGGCCTCCTGATTATTTTGGTATGATTTTTTGCCACTTACCTATTTCCCTATTTCCTAAAATACCACTATGTCCTGGAGCCCAGTAGAGATTGGCTGTCTGCTAACTAGGGATGGCATTTTTGTCCAATTTTTGAGAATTTTTTTCGGTGACAGATTTTTGCACTTTTTCTATACGCAACAAAATAAGCAAGGCCAGTTTTTGTAAATTGCATTTATTATATAAAAAAAAACTGCAAAAGCAGTCTCCAAAGAAATTTGAAAAATCAACGCGATTTTGCAAACCGTTAAAATTTGCACTTCTTTAGACTAAAATTGTATGAGCTATAAAACTGAAAAGTTCTAAAGTTTCAGATTAAAAAGATTAAATTTTTATAAAAACGTGTGAATTTTACGAAATTTTGTGTCAAGCTTGGGCGGTATTTTTTTAGAAAAATAACAAACAAAAAACATTTGCTCAAAAGATATTACGAATATTAAAAAAAAAAAATCAACACGTGGTGACTTGTTTGAGTCACTGTAAGTGTTACCATTCGAACCATACGATATCAATCTTCTGATATGAAAGCTCATAACTACATATTTAACATCATTCTTTCGGAAATTTCACAAAACTTTAATTTTGTAAATTTTCAAGAAATAGGGGAGTGTATTTGAAACAGTTTTTTATGCCAGTGGTATTAAATTCACCCCACTGTACGTACATAGTAATAGTAGACGACGTGCGGCAATAAAAAAGTCGCTTGGCATAGTTTGCTATCGGTTGATGTCTAATAACGGTAATTCGTAGTATACCAATCGATTTGCCGAGCCAATAAATAACAATTTGCCGGCAAGTATAAATGGAAATTAAATTATTTCATTACTACAGTCGATTACGCAGGCGTTGATTGCGGGCGGCAGCTTGTGACACTTGCGAGTAGATGTACAAACTTACGTAGCTATTTCGCACACATACATACATACATAGGGTAGATATGAACGAGTGTATGTTTTGTTGACACTCGGATGCATATGGGGGCACCAAAGTGGAATGGGAACGCACATAAACGCACGAAAGTGTCACAAAGGCCAAGCTAGGCGTGCAGACGTGTACTGTACGCTTGTGGTAATACACACAGTTTGTTGCAATTTTATGGCCACAAAAAAACCGAACTCTATTTGGGTGTATTAAATAATTAAATTTGCAATTGTTTTAGGCGAATTACTATACATTTGTATTGCCTCATTAAAGGGCTTGTGGAAGCGTGCGTTGAGAGTGAGGTGGCAATGCACCTCGCATATCGGCACGTGCTATATATTTCTCAAAAGTTATTCCAAATATTTATTGCTGCATTTTCAAAGTCATTCGCTAAATTTTTGGTATGTTGTTTCTTTATTTATTTTTGTATTAGATATTATTATTTTTCGACACAATCAATTGCACTTCTTATAAAAGTTACCACAAGGTGCGCGATATGCATCAAAGTCGTTCACACCATCGAGCTATTAACATCAGCTCACAAGCAATTTTCTACCTCAAACTAAATTTAAAAAAAAATTACATAAAATGGCTTGTAAATTTTTGGTAAGTTTTGTAACTCCTTTTTTCAATTTAAATATTTTTTAATCATGGCAATCCATTTTCCTCTTTTTGCAGCTTATCGCTTTGTTCGCCTGCGCCGCTGTAGCCAATGCTGGTCTACTGCCTGCTGCCGCTATTGCGCCCGGCATTGTCGCGCCCTACGCATCCTCGTTCAATGCTCATCACATCAACCATGCTGTAGCGCTGCCAGTCGCACCAGCACCCTTAGCTGTAGCCGCACCACCTAGGTTAGCTTTCGCTGCGCCTGCCCCTATTGCAGCACCTGTTGCGGTAGCGCCAAGAGTAGCTTTTGCCGCCCCTGCGCCAGTTGCTTTCGCTGCGCCCGCTCGGTTAGCTGCTGCACCGCTGGCTGCGCCCCTGGCTGCTCCTTTGCCATTTGCCCCAGCTGCATATCCTTTTGCTCCAGCACCTCTACGCTTTGCCGCGCCTGCGCCCATTCTGGGTTAAATTAAATAAATGCATACATAGAGTACCTGAACTAAACTTTTCAATACGAACATAACTCGAGTGTACATAGATAAATTATGATTTAAAATTATATATTTTTTTTATTAAATATTGATTCAAAGATTAGCATTCTCAATGAAAATTAATTAAAAGTAGAAGAATAAAAAATCGAAAATTTTTAATTGGTTTGTGGAAGCCCTATGAAAGGGCTACGAAGCTTATTTGTAATTTTTTCAGTTTAATAGTCTTCTCAAGACAACAACCAAAAATTTGTCAGCATAAGGTCTTCTATCTAAAGCATTGATGCTCAGAGAGAGCTTTTACTCTGTGCGCGTCCATATAAAACAGCGATGGGCAGAGAGAGCTTTTACTCTACGCGCGGCTATAAAATATGTGTAGAAAGCTTAAAAGAATTTTGCCCGCGGGCAAGACAGTGCCCATGACCGATATAAAATGTACAGAGAGCTTTGAAGAGTTCCGTCCGCGGGCGCTGTTTTGGGCATCACTGATCTAAAGCATAAACTACTAATTGCTTGGCGCGCAATTCCTCGCATACGCCAAATAATAACTACAAAAAAATTTTTAATGACGCACCCAATATGGCGGACGGACTTTTGACGCTTGATTTTCTCGAGGGTGCAAAAAAAGTTTAATTTTGTAGGACAGTGTTATGTACACTGCCGGAACAAAGTATTAGCACAGCAAATTTTTCACAATATATGCAACAATTTTCATTCTAATATTTTTTCGCTAATTTCGTATAAAAATATGGTTAATTCTACAACAAAAAACATAAAAACATAATTCCTGAACTTTGTGAAAAACTCGCGAAAATTCATCAAATTTTCATGAAAATTTTCAACTTGTTAATCAGATTTTTTAGAATTCTTTTGAGTATGCACATTTGTAGCCCAATCAATTTTATTATAATAAAGTGCAAGTTTTAAGTAGCTACGAATTATCGTTGATTTTTGGCAATTTTTTTTCAGGCAGTCTCTTCCATACAAAAAATATTTTTTTATATCGAAAAAAGGCAAAACACCTTCAACGAAAAAAATCTCAAAAATCAACGCGATTTTTGACTAACTCCGAACTTGGATATTTTTTACTAGAATTTAATGAGCTGCAAAACTGAATACTCAAAAAAATTCTAAAAAATCTGATTAAAGGTTGAATATTTTGATGAATATTTGCTGAATTTTCGCGAGTTTTGTGTTTAGTGTAACTGTCTTTGATACTCATCTAATGTAAACAAAATCACACCAGGTATACATATGTACATATGTAGATACGAGTATACAGACATTAAAAATTGATAGCAACATAAAAAGTAATTAAAATCAAATTTAATTAAATTTTCCGACTTTATTTTATATTTCCAATTCATTTTGCTGTTTTCTTACATTAAATATTTTAAGTATTGCCAGCGATTTACACAGTTTCACATTCCGCATTTTACAACCTTACCAACTCATCGTGCGATTCCCGATGAAAGAGTGGCTTATGATCATCGGGCTTATGCGTCACCGGCACTGAATCGTAGGTAATGTGCGCAATGTGAGTTAATGGTGCCACAATGTCAGTGGCCATATGCTCAGCGGATGCGGCAACCGCAACAGCAGCAGCAGCCTCATCATCGACAATATCATTCCCAGCAGCAACGCTGGTACTCTGTTCAACAGCCGTTTGTAATTTTGACTGCATTTCAGTGTCAATATCTGGCAATATTGTTGTGGGTTTATTAGCTGATGCTGATTCTGCAATCACTTCCTTAATTGTAGGTGCTGCTTGGCTGGTGGTGCTCGTACACAAAAACCACAACAGCATTAACGTCAACAACCGCATCTGTGAAAGTTGTAAAAATTGTTGATGAGCTCAAGGTTACGATTGGCATCGCCGGTATATTTAAACTCATTATCTGAGATGCGCAAACAACACATCGTTATGTACACACAAAGAATCCTTAATATAAGTATGTATATGTATCTGCTTAAGCACTTGTACTTGGCTACTTAAAACAAAATCACTCACATCGATATTAAAGAACGACATTCTCTGATATGAAACTTGTTGAAGTTTATTGCTTTTTTATTCAGATTATTATATTCTTCTATAGGTATGTTCTTTCGCACTATTCTTTTACCGACGTTGGTCACAAACCTGCTGGCTTTCAGTAGACCTTGGCTTCTTAAATTAAACTACGACACCTGTTTTCTTGTGCGTGGCATTTTATAAAGTTCTACTTGCCTCAAATGGGTAATTTGTCTTCGATGCAGACATTCATTTTCACATGCATGCATACATGCATACCTATAATGTAAAGACCCTGTAGGAACTGGCGAAAATTCCCTAAACTTACGAAAACCCCAGAGATTAGGGTGGGTCAATGCTAAAATGGAATAAAACAGAGATATTTATGAAAGCCCATTTTCATTTAAGAGGCCACTGTATGCCATTTTTCAATAAATCTAGACCACATATTGAAATATATAGATCAGCATGAATATGAGCCCTGCGTTTGGTAATCTTGGCTTCTTCAGAAAACTCCAAAAAAAACTCCATCGGCTTCAAATCGCACAATATTTGTGACAAACTGTCATAAACGTGTCATAACTGCGAGAGGAAACCATTTTACCACAATACCGACTTTCTGTGATCTTAGAATAGTATGTACTAGCTTCATTTTCCTCAGCAAACCCCTTAAGACATGCGAGTAAACAACGCTAGAATCCAATAACTACTTAGTTCGATACCAACTTCACTACTTATTCGAATAAACTTATTTCTTATAAAATGTTGAGCAGACTGCAATTCCTACAGGGCATTTAATTATGTGATGTGATTTACGTACGGTGACCAGATTTCTGTGGCCAAAAATCGGGACATTTCTAAATCATCGAATCCGAACAAACAATTTTATTTTTAGAATAAAAAGACATAACATCTTTTAATACAGTTTCATTTAAAGCAAAACAAAGAAAAAATAAATAAAAAATTATCGCAAAAATCTATACACATAATAGATACGGTGGCAGAATGTAAATAGGGAAAAGACATTTTAGCAAATTTTGGTTACTTTTCCTTGTTTAAGAAATGTTTATTATTTTTTTTATGAAAATATAACTTACTATCAAAAAAAAAAACATGTAAGTCAAAATTTAAAAATTTATAAGAAATTCTACGAATTTTAACAAACGTTGATCAAAGTTTTAAACATTTTAATCAGATCTTCTAGAATTGTCTTGAGTATGCAGTTTTGTAGCACATTAAATTTTAGTATAATAAAGGGCAAGTTTGAAGTAGTACCCTTGATTTTTGGCAATTTTTTGTTCGCGCATTTTCTTCCATCCAAAGTACCTACTTTGTTTAAGTTTTTTTTTGGTATGGAGAAAATGAGCAACACCTTCCACAAAAAAATTTACCATAAATCAACGGTACTCATAATGTTTCTAAGAAATCTAATTAATATTGACGAAACTTTGTCGAATTTCGTGCATTTTTGTACGAAGTTTAAAGTTTTGACTTACATAGTCTTTTATGGATAACGAGCTACACTTTCGTAAAAAATAAAAAAACATTAATACTAACCATTAAATAATCGAGAGGAATACCCAAAGAATGCTAAAATGTCTCTTCCCTATTTATATTTTCGCCACTATAGCTATAGCTTTTTTTTTTGTATATCCATGATTTCTTCTAGAGAATTAGCATTTTTTATACCCGAGCGCACTTGTGCACAAGGGTATTATAACTTTGTTCACATAACGGTTGTTTGTAATAGGCAAAACGAATCGAGATAGATATAGACAAATGTATACATAAATGATCAGAATGAAAAGAGAAATCGATTAAGCGGTGACTGTCTGTCCGTCCGTCCGTCCGTCTGTGCGGCCGTCTGTGCACACGATAACTCGAGTAAAAATTAAGATATCTTAATAAAACTTGGTACGTGTACTTCTTTCGGGCGTAGGACGGATGGTATTGAAAATGGGCAAAATCGGACAATAACCACGCCTACCTTCCATATAACGGTAACTTTCAGAAATACGAAAACTGCGATATTTTAGTAACTACTGAAGATTATTCACTCAAAATTGATATTTATAATAATTTTGAGACGAAAAATAAGAAAATTATAAGTTGTTTAAAAATGGGCGTAGCCACGCCCACTTATGGTTACATGTGTATATCTTGGCAACCGCTGTACCAATTTCTTCCCAACTTGGCACAATTGTTGGCTTTGGTACAGCATACCAAATGGCCGAAAATTTTAAAAATCGGACAATAACCACGCCCACATTCCATATAAGGGTAATTTAGAGAAATACGAAATCTTCGATAAATCAGTAAATATTAAAGCTAATTTATTCAAAATTGACGCTTGCAACCATCATTTACCAAGAAATACGTTTATGATACAATTTTGGAAAATGGGCGTGGCACCGCCCACTTATGATCACATAGATGTATCTCGGTAACCGTTCTACCAATTTGTACCAAACTCGGTATGGTTATTGTGCTTGCCTCATAAAAGCAAAGCGTTGAAAATTGTTGAAATCGGCCTAAAATTACGGCCGCTTTTCATATAACAATAAACTTCAGAAATGCTTAAAATTTCAATATTTCGAAATTTAAGGACGCTAACTTACTCAAAATTGATACACCCCGGCTTACCATGTAGCGGAAGCTTGCGGAAAGGTGAAAAACATATATTTGATACTTGCGCCGGGTATTTAATGTTCGGCTCCGCCCGAACTTAGACTTTCTTACTTGTTTAAATTTAAGTTTATTCAAGTTAGAATCATTTCATTCAAAAAAAAAAACACCAAACAAACAATTGGAAAGACATTAAAAATATTTAGACAATATAGCGAGAACACTAGTTTGACAGAATAAAACATAACTACAGATCATAGAAAACAAGGATGCTGGCTATGTTCATGGCTCCTTTATATTCTATGTCCTTTGTGATAAGGAAAGTGCTGCCACGTTCGAACGAAAAATAGTTTTTGGGCCAGAGTAAAGAGAGACTCTTATTAAATTAATAAAGACAACACTGAAAATCGGAACTTAGTCGGTACAAAAATAAAAAATCACTTATCACACTTATACGTCCCGAATTTAAAAAACTATTCAGCGGGACAATTTTCTCAAAATCGGTACGAATGGTCACCGTAGATATACGCTTATTTCTATATTTGTATTTATTGGTACCTGCATACCTGCATATGTAAGTATTTGGTTATTGCACGAGTGCTTTTCATGCTTGATTACGTGCCTGTCATCGATAAATTTATTATATCTTCAATAACGAGTCTACCTTTCTTTATTGCGGATAACTTATTTTGTGTAAGACCTTTTTGATTTTCTTTTATGTAGGACTCAATACATTGTTATTTGCCATTACCATATTTTGTATGAGTAAGAATATATTGTAATATACTTTTTATTTGTAAGTGTGTATAAAATAACATTTTTAACAAATTAATTCATACTTTATTTTATACAAAATAGAATTGTGTTTTACTACTGACCTCAGAGCCGGTTTTACTACATACTAAATGCGATCGTAATTTTCTCTCCTTTTTTTTATTACATACATGCTATATATCTCCTTTTTTTATATTTCTTTCATTCTCTCCTTTTATACTTTGATCTTTCTTTCTTACTTTGCTGCTTCTTTCTTTATTTCTTTCTCCCACGACTGCTATGAACTACCCGGAGTTATTGTCATTTATCGTGCAGTTATTTAATTTTTTATTCATTTCGTTTGCTGTGGTAATGAACTTCATCATTATCTTCATTCGTTATCGGTTATCTCTTACGTAGTTCCAACAATGTATGGCTTGTTGCAACTCCTCATTAAACTGGTTTTCAAGTTCAAGTTCATTTAATCTACCGGCAAAATGTGTGTAAAAGTTGACAATAAAATTGTGGCAAATACGTATGTATGTATGTATGTACTGCCAAAATAACGTAAGCGACATTTTTTTTTTTTAATTTTCTTTTCGATGCAGAAATGCATCTAGATGCTCTAGGAATATTTCTGCATCAAAAATAAAATTTTGAAAAACATGTCTCGTTATTTTGGCGGTTAGGGCTCAATATGTACATGTCAATACGAATAATTTTATTATTGGTTGCAAGTAATTAAAAAAAAAAAATATGTTCAAATATTTAGACCTTGCATTTACATATCCGAATCAAACTAATAATTCAATTTAAATTTATTTACTTCGATTTACTTTTATTTATACTAAAATAAGTACTAACTTAATATGTGTTTTATAAGTATTTTGGTGAGACTGCGAATACAAAAACGAATAAAATCACGTTCAGTGTTGCCAGAACTAAAAATTATTTATTTTTAAAACTAAATATAACGGTTTTCAGTGTGCTACGTAAGCTACGATAAACTAGTCGACATTTTTACCCTAGATCCTTGGTTTTATTTTATTTTGTAAAAAAAAAAACGGAAATAAAGGTGTGACACTGTATGCATTGAATTCGGTGATCCACCCAAGGCATATTATTTTTAGAAAAAAAGATAAAAGCCATCGACGCATAAAGTACAGTAACTTTTATACCATCCTGAACAAAAAGAAACCCATAGCATTACCATTATTTATTTATTTATTTATTTATTTAATTATAAGTCTTTGGAATACAATCCTTACAGACTATGTA